GAAATAACGCTGGACACAGACTATTTCATAAAAACCTCACTCCCATCAGTCAGTATTCCCTGCCTCTTTTGACTCAAGTCAAAATATTGTGCTGGGCCATGCTGAACACATTGCAAAAGCACATTATCTCTCTAGAGTCACTGTCAACAACTGAATTTGTAATCACATACAAAATGAAAGTTGTTCTGTTTAGCAGGCTCTACCTCCTGGAAAGCTATGTTGCCCGATATTAATTATATTTCTAGTTAGAAATTGAACCTCATATTTCCCTGTGCAATATTTTGCCAGATATTAACTTCAGGTTGTTCAGCTTATAACTATCATAGCCACTGCTGTTACATACCTCTGAATTACCGGCAAAACCTAAGACCTCTGCAGCCATCTGCAATATTGCCAGCACTCCCAGGTTCATTAAAACCAGATGTTTCCTGAGCCAACCTTCTCAAGACTCTTAGATATATGTTGTCCTAGTAGGTAATGTTTAGCAGATTCTTCAGTTATTTCTTCTGGGAAGTAATCAGCCTTATCCAAGCCCATATGCTGTGGCTTTTCAAACGTAGAGTAGGAACCATGACATAATGCCTTTGACTTCCTGCCTTCATTATAATATCTTTAATTATCTCTCTCTGATAATGACAGTATTCCTACTGTTCCTAAACCTACAGAAAATTCTTATTACCTCTGCCTTCTCTCACTAAACCAGAGGACTGTGTGGTGTGTTTAACTGTCTCGCCCTCCAACAATCCCTTTTCCCCTCTCTCACACTGAAAGGGTGTTATGGACAAGGAACAGCAGACAAGTTCTGGAGAAGGATTAGGAAGGATCCCCAACAACTGCGTAGGGATTCAGAGGCCTTTCTGCAATTCATCTACAGGTTAATAGGACCTGAAGCCCTGCTGCAATTAGGGGAAAGTTATATGAAAAGAAAAATTTGGTCCCGTCCTCAGGGTCTCAATGCTGTTGCACAGGGCTTCTCTCTATCAAAAAAAAGTAATGAAAAGTAAGTTAATAGTTGGCACAGAGGCCATAAAGACAGAGACAAAAGTCACTACTCTAAACTACTAATTTTGTGTCTTTTCCCATTTCACTCTATTTTTTTTCAAAATTACATGCCCCATCTTGTCTTCACTGCCACATGCACAGCTGAACTAAAAGCTTTGCGCTCAGAATAAATATCTACTACAAGGAGAAGCTTGTTATAGTAATAGCACATTCACCGCACACAGACTGCATTCTAATAACTACAGTCATGTAGAGAAATCCTCTTAAATCAAAGAAATACCACAACGAATAATGAGAATGTTCAACAAAACTCTCTGAAGCAAACTGGGAAATGGAAAGATTGTTTGACCTTTTAATACATCTGCAATGCCCAAGGAATGGCTGCATCCCACAGTCTCCTGAACAAATGCCTGATGCCTCTAATAACATTGTTTTCCTGCATGTGTCTATAACAGCTGCATGGCTCCTCTTAGCAACAGGACAAGACAGTTGGGATTATATGGAGCAGCATTTCCCAGGTGTTTTGATTTTTGTATTGCAGGTTTTTTGTTTGGTTTGGGGCTTTTATTCAGTTTGGTTTTTTTCTTCCAGGAACAGTGTCCATTGACTAGGTTAAGTCATCAAATGCAGCATTCCTTTCTTCTGAGAGGAGTTAGGCAATACCAGAATATCAGGGATGTATCTGTGCAGTCAACCAAGGGCTACTTTGTTAGTCATCACAGGCTGAAGAACCAGTTGCAAAGAAACATGTGTCCCACTGGACAAGCCACACTTCTCTGGGAAAAGTAGGATGAATAGCCTGATCTTAGAGGTCTCACAGTCCTGAAGAAGCTGTGAGGGTCAGAGGGGAATTTTGATGAGTGCCTTAGGCAATGGCACCTGCACCTCCTCAGTATCTGCGCTGGCTTATGATGGAAGCAACCTGCATAGGTTTTGGGTTCACCCCATGTAGAAGTAGTTGCAGAAAGAGGGTTCCTCATTGTCTGAGATTGGAGATGGGCCTATACACTCCCCAAAGCACTCTCTGTGGACTTCAAAGCATGAACTTTTCTTCTTGATGCAACCATACACAGAGCAGAGGCCATCAAGTTAATTCTACCCTAATTATCACCCAAACTGGAAGGGGAATAGCTGTGAAGCTGCTTTGCTCTACAGCAAGACTGATTTTCTGGGCACTGAAAGATGTACTGGATCTATACAAGCTGATTTGTTACCTGCACAGAGCTGCACTGTGCCATGAAGACTCATCAGCTTGTTAGGAGAGGCCAAGGCACAAGCCTGGGTCAAGTTTCCAAAACAGTTTGGTTCCCACAGACTTAGGTCTGTGAAACTCCAGTACCAGGTATGAGCACCAAACTGTTCGGAAAACCAAGCCCTAAGCTCTTGAAATCTGCCCTTTCTCATGCTCTTCCAATTACTTCATGCTCTTCCAATTACTACTGATCTCCACGTTTAAAAGCCTGGTAGTGCTGAGTGGAGGCGTGATGAGCACGATAATAGAAACAGATTTTTGGACTCTAACAAGGTACATTTAGTTGAAAAGTTTCAGCCATTCTTCCTTAAGAGCAGCATTAAGAATGGGAAGAAAAATAGTAACGGGTTGTTTAAAATGACAGCCAGAGAAGGCAGAAGTGTTTCACTAATCTCTCATAATTCTCTGGCCATGTCAGAGGAAAGCCACGACTTATTCAGACTGTCAAAATGCTTTTGAGCAATCATCGCAAAAAAGAGAAACTATAGGAATTCAAACAGCATAGTGGAGGCAGGTAAACTAATATTTTGATGAAACTTTAACAAAGGGAAAAGAAGTGAAGAATCAGATAGACTATTTTCACCCTGACAAATGTCATATGCCTCAAGCCTCCACTCTGGATGCCACACTGTTTAATTTGCTTGTGTTTTTGAATGATCTAGAAAGGGCTGGAACTGAAATAGCAGAAATGCACTGGGCACAAATTTTTAGGTGGGTGAGTAGGAAGAATTATTACGATGACATTCAGGAAGACCTTAGGCAACCAGATGACTGGCCCAAGTAATCAAATTCCAGTTCCAAAACACCGAAGACATGTAACATTGGAAAAGGGGAAAATATTGCTTGCACAGAATTCTAAATGTAAGTGGGAAATTCTTTCTTTACTGAGAAAGTTGGGGGTTTTTTTACACCCATCCCATGATCTGTACCCCCAAACTGCTGAGGGCCCTCATTGCTGCACAGGGCAGCAGTCACACACCCAGTGTCTCTGGCAGAGGATGCCATGGCAGCTCTGAGCAGCAATTGCCCCTGTCCCACCACAGGAGAGGCTGTGCCTCACAGCAGGGCAACACCTCCCCTGCCTGCCTCCCTTGCCCAGCTCACAGGATGGGGCTCTGCCAGTTCACACAGGCAGGGCCTCCTCTGCATTTTCTTGCCCACAACACACAAATACACACATGGGTCCCTCAGGTGCCCCTTGGCCTCTGCCTCAGTGAGGAGCTCCAAGCAGGAGAGAAGAACAGAATATGCAACATGCAAGAGAAAGAGGCTGCGGTGTTACAGGGAGGAGGAGAGTAAAGGAGGAACGGTCAAGAGCTGGGGCTAGGGAGAGGATGCTGCACCGCAAGCAGTACAAAGATATAATGCAGGTGACACAAGGAAACAGTTCAAATCATCACTGTAGATATATCCATGTAGATTCAATCTGTACACAAATGATAGCAGATAGCCAAAATTGATTAAAAATTAAACACTCAAATACGTTTGAGCAATTCTAGGTAAGCACCGCAAACCCAGCTGAAATCTTACACATCATGTCCTTCATTGGCTCTGAAAACTTCCTCAGAGATACTGCACAAGTTAAATGGGGACATGATTGCTGTTAAAGTAAGATATTAAGAAGACATCCTAGGGAAAGAGCAGAAGACAAGGCCATTAGCTAAGGTTAGGGTTAAAAATGACTACAATAAGAGTACTACAACTGGTGCAGGGAGAGAAAGGGAGGCCAAAGGAACAGGGAAGCTGCAAATGTTCTGGACTGAAAACTCTTCCACTTCCAGGATATCTGAGGGTCTTGGTTAAGGCTGCCCTGACAAAAAGGATGAGTGGAAGGGTTAGGGTTAGGGTTAGGAGAGGGACAAAAACTACTACTCCAATTTGAGTAGGGCAGGACAGGGGCTGCCAAAGGATAGATGTTCTGCAAAAATAGCTCTCCTATAAGATCCTACTTATCCTAACCATGCCTGGGAAAGCTGAAACAAAAGTTAGCCAAGGTCAGCAATTTGGACTAAGGTATGGATTAGGGCTTGTGTTTAGGGTATCTGTATTTTTTAATGGGGCTGGAAGCAGGCTGCCAAACTAATGCTTAAGCTGTTGAAAGAATTCATCCCCTGAGACCTTTTGTACAATAATGTGAGGAAGGAATGTATAATCTTTAGAGCATACCCACTTTATCCCTACTCCTAACTTCATAATATCAAGAAAAAAGATAGGCAGTGAAAAAAATCACAGCAAAATCACCACAGATAGAAAGAAATATTAAATGCTTCTTGCAAACAGGTGTTTAAGCCTATGTACTCATTGCTATAGTGGACCAAGGACACAGGGTGATTCAAAATGAAAATGTATTTGTCTAAGGATAACATTAGTTTCCAGAGTCATGGGAGTTAATGATAACAACAATTTTTAGAGTGTATTAAATGCCATTCTTCAAGACTTAATCCAACCTCTAACTATTTCAGGATCAGGATGAGATCTAATGGGGCTTGAGAAAAAGGTTGAAAGGATTGATTATCCTGCATCTGCCTGCTGTGAGGTTCTTACATCTTCCTCTGAAGCATGGAGTGCTGGCCAGGGTCAGAGGCAGGCGGCTGGATAGGAAGGCACCCTGGATTAGCTTGTTTGTACTCCCCCTGCTCTGCCTTGGCTGCAAGCTATGCAAGGTTTTATGTCTGTAATCCACAGCTCTCCTTGAGGAACACAGAGGGCCTCTGAAATGCTAAACAACCCAGGGAAAGAAGCTTACCTGAAGCCATGAGTAAACCCAGCAGTCAAACCTCTGGCACAGATTTTGGCTTCTTCCTCTTCTAAATGGCTCAAGGTTTGGATGTCTTTGTTTTCAGCCCTGTATCTGAAAGATAAAGGAATTAGCAGGATTTCTTTAATCTTTGTGTTCTCCCAGATAAGTATATTAGGGGAATTTTGTAGGTTATGGAAATATTTATTTTGAATTAAAATTAAAGCTGCACCACACTATGTGTTACTGTATCTTAGTGTAGGGGACAATGCAGTCTCCTATATCTGACTGCAGAAACATCATTCCTCTTGCTCAGACCTGGAAAAATGAAATAACAATGCTCTCTTTTCAGCAAAACCCAGTTTATACCTGTTGCGACACAGAATGCATGGAGTCCAAAAAGTCTCCATAAAATAGGTACTTTATTTTCAATATTTCATTAGGAAATTGGTTTGACTTTCAAGCAGCAAAGAACTAGAGGTGTGAACTAGGGCATTATGGAGTCAGCATGTCCAGTTATTGACAGAGGAGACCAATAATTGTATTTCTGTGTAAACTTGTTTTACTGAACACAAGAATATCTCAGCTGGCTTTACTTGAGCTCTCTCCAGCCTGTTTCCTCTAATTTAACCAAAAGGGAGGTTGCTGCTACTGTTTAAGATAGAGAAGAGTATAGAAAAAGTGATAGATAGCTAACAGGCAGACACGTTTCCTCACTATGAGCACAGTTGTTGCTGCTGTCTAAAAAATTTCCTTCCCAGCTCCAAGGGAAATACAGTTTTTGGAACAGATCAAGCCCAGAACACACTCTGAATCTCACAGGCAAAGATTTGTGAGCAAAGTGAACATATTTCTCAGGTGCAGTGCTCCTCTGCCTGAACAAAGGGATATAGGGAAAGGTGAGGAGCACAATATGAACCCTTCCCATCTCAGCAGCTCTGGGCCTCTCTGCTTCCTCCTCATGGCTGCATGAAGCCCTCACTGAACTCAGCAGCCCACCAAGCAGCATAGCTCCAGCACCAGCTGAACTACTCTCTTACCTAAAAACCCTAAAAATCCTATCATAGCCTTCCAAAAATCTCTCACTCCTAGTCCCGACTCAGTCAACACTCAAGGAAATGCAGTTTAATTAACCCTTTCTCATGAGGATTGAATTCAAGTACCCCATCTAGATAAGTACTAATCTTGGCTCAGGTCGTATTGCCTCAGTTTCTCCTGCCATATTATTTTTCCCCTTCTGCCTTCAGTAAGCTCTTTAGATTCAAGCACTCACCTCAGGCCAATTTTTTATTTCAAAGCCGGATTACTGCCTTAACTCCCTCTTCCCATTTTTCTACCACTTAGTTCAATGCTCTCTGACTGTGAGGATGTAACACAGCAACAAAGGACCAGGAAAAAGACACTGGATTAAAGTATAAATGGATCTAAATACTTAATAGCTGGAAGGAAGAAAAGTGTGACCTACATTAATCAGAGGCAAAGTAGTGACAATGGGCTTCAGCTGGTTGTGTACCTAATTGTTTGTGTGTTTGTTTATTTATTTATTTTTAAGGGACCAAGTAGCAAGAAAATATTCTTGAAAAGGTTTCATTCAAATATAACTTCAGACATGATTTGGAAATTTTCTACAGCTTGGAAACAAGCAGACAGCACTTGAGGGAAAAAAAATAGAATTCAGTTTTATGAAGACTGGCACACCAGCCAAGAGACAGTCAAGAGTTACCGATTGAACCCACTGTGTGTAAATTACTGAAATTTCTGTTTAATTACACCACAAGGCTCTTTGTTGGCAGTTCTTGAAACTTATTCAACCTTTAAAACTGCAGCTTGAAGCTCCAGGCCCTGAAGTCAAGAGATGATATGAGAGTCTCAGCTTCCATCACAAATAACGCTGAATGTCAACAATGTTCAGATATCAAGAAAAAAAACACAAACAACTTTCATCTATCTATTTTTGACTTACGATTTTTAAAGGCAAATTCATGTGGATGATGTACCAACTTGTCTTCTGAACTGCTGGAATGAGCAGTGCAGTAGACATGGGGCTGTTGTAAGTGTGCAGATCTCTCAAGGCTGCTGGCTGCATCCTTTATTCTCACTCCAGTTGCACTGGAAGAAAAGACAGAAGATGCAAATGGCCATTGCAAATGGCCACCTGTGCCGCCTCCTGCCTTGTGGGAAGTCTGGGAAGAAGACTGTTCTGCTGAGACTTCCTTGGCCTGCCCAAAACAGGGTGTGATTTTGAGGGTCCCCAAGCCTGAAGCAGTGTGCAGCTGAGAGTGATACATTCGTTGCTTCAACCCATACCTTCTTTGCTATCCTCCTCTGAAGCACCACAGCTTGACTCGTTGCTGTACTGCTGTCTCAGTATCCTCTTGAGCTCTGAGCTGGATTGGGTTTCCTTTAACAAATCAGCCTTCTAGCCCCCATTTTAACAGTAATTGATTGGAGATGCTTTTAACTGTTCCTTCTGGGTGTATTAATTTTTTACAGATTGAATTTGGTTTGATGAGGCAGGAAACCTGAAACTATTCCTGGCATCTCCTGTATACTCAGAATAACCATTCTAATGCATTCAGAGGAGCACACAGCAGCAGGGTGGTAACAGATCAGGGTGGGGGACGGGGAGGCAGAAGTGGAGTAGGGGGAGCCTAGATAGTCACCTATCCATTTCCAAAAGACATCAGTAAGTGATTGCTTACCCGTGTCATCTTTTATATTAAACATTTTTTTCCCAGCAATGCAGGTATTTTGATCAGGCTGGGGCTGCTGACATTAACAGATATTAAATATACTCCGGAGAAATATGATCAAATGTTTGAAGTGTCTAGTAAATGTGCTGTTAGCTGCCCTCCCAGGGAGGATTAGTGCAAGCTATTGTGTTTTGCTGAGAGAGAGAAAGGCTGGAATATTAGACAAGGAATCCAAAGGCAATTTTATCAGCAGTGTTATGCAGCTCTGGAACACATTGCTTTTCTATTGGAAGCTTTTCTATTACAGCCATCAAATTACTTGCTATTCTTAAACACTGAAATGCCATTTTGCATTTTAAACCCTCTGAGCTGGCAACCGTAAAGGATTGCTATGCTCAACAACACCTCCTTATTGTGACACTGTGGTGATGCTCCGGGCAGGGCTGGGCTTCGATGTCCTTTAGACCAGACAAAGGCTTTATCCTTCCTGCTCACCCAGGCAGGAAGTGGGAGACACACTTGGCCAAGCTTACTTCCAGAAATGTAGTACCAGCAAACTCCACCATTACAGCTCAACTACTCTGCTCCTGGAGCAGAGAAAATAACAGATGAGAAGATAATTGGCAGAAGAGACAGGAGGTTGGCCCTACTGGAACTTATGTAAAAGAATATGAGGAAAAAAGACTGGGAGAAGATCCTCCTTCAAAGTGTATATCTGCACAGTGGCTATTTCTCCTCTGTTTTTCAGCTTTTGGATTCAAGAGAAGGTGCCTGAGGCTGCTCCTTCCTCTTGGCACAGGAGGGCCTGAGCCTGTGAGACTTCTGTTAGATTGGGCAATGTAAACACTCCCTTGCAGAGCTTTGCTTATCCTCAAAACAACATTTCTATCTTGCAAGACTCTTCTACAGGGTTATAAAAAAGAAACCATGTAAACATAAAAGGCCACTTTCTTTGGTAAAAGGCCAGGTTTCCCCTAGAGAAAAATGGCCACTAAATTTTACAGAAAAAATTCAATTGGTTACTAAGTTACATAGATTAGTGACACACACAGTATTTTTCTGTCTTGGAAAGCACCCTCATTCCTTTAAAACTTCCCAGTATATCCAAGTAATCCAAATACAGCCATGTCTAGAGCAGATACAACCCTTCAAAATACTCCTCTCCAGCCAAAAGTTCAATTCAGGCAAAATGAAGGACCAGCTTTTTCTTCTTTTTTATTAAAGAAATCAAATACCATGTTTCTGGTATACAGCTACACCTTACTTGAGGCAGCCAGTCCCAGGAATATCCTGAAGCCTAGCACATTCCTGAGACCCAGGATTACATATCCAGAGCACCTTTGTAGATGATTTGAATTCAGCCTGAATTCAGTCCTGCCCACCTTTCCAACAGACAATGCTAGTGCCCTCCTAGTATGGACATGGACTGTTTCATCTATCCTATCAATTATGTGATGTTGCTACAGGGCAGAAAAGACACTGAGGACAGAGCCATGTATTGCACACTGGGGTCTCTGGGCCCACTCACCCGTTAGCACCTGTACAATATGATGTTCCCCTTCTCCCTCTTCCCCATAAATGTGGGCTGAACAGCTGGATTAGACCAGGAGTATCCCAAGGCAGTGATTCAACAGGCTAGACAGCCAGTGCAGGTGTCTTCATTCAAGGCTTTGAGATTAGTCATTAATCAGTCATGATGGTCAATAAGGAATTGGCCAATGCACTGCAGAGGATTTTAACCCGCTGTTGGAGCAGCAGCAGGTGCTGGCTTTGGAGAACCAATGGTCTCATTTAGCAAAGCAAGCCCTAGGCCCTCCTGTTTGTTAGAGCAGCATGCTTATTTTAAATTCAGACCTGCTGTCTTTTTCTGCTCTTCTTCTTCTATTGCTAAAAATGGGTTTATGACAGATCTTGATGGATATGAATTGTCTGCCATATGTTGTTTCCTTTCCTGACTTATCTCCATATGTCAAATGTACTTGGATCTGATGATCTCCATACAAACGATAACAAAACAAACAGACAAGGAGAGGCCAGACTACAGGGGAAACAGAATCCCTATCAGAGCACTGAAATACCAGCAGACAGCCTTTCTACAGGAGACTGTACAGTTTACATGCTGTCACTCAAAAGCAGTGACTCCTTCTAGGCAATCTCACACATTAGTTGCTCTCTGACTGCTAAGAAAGGATGTGTTCAAGGGGAAATTCCCTGGGGATCCACCACCCAACTTAGGATATACAGAGTAGTGAGAGACCTAATGAGTAAGGTTTGTTTTGCCTCCAGCATAACTGGTGCCAAGCTTTTTATAATTTGGTTTTTTCCTGGTAAATTGTGTAAATTATTAGAAGTGCCTCAAGTGAGGCACTTAATTAAATTTACCAGAGATTTGATCT